TGTCCATCGTCCATCGTCGTGCGTCGTCAACTTTTGAACATTAACAACATCTCCTCTGAAACCAATGACTGCACATCAACCAAACTGATTTTATTTATGTTTATAGCAAAAACTTAAAAAAACTTCTTTGAAAAAACCCAAATAGCTAGAGTTAAGATATTAAGCATGAAACATCTTCCAGTTAGTGTCTTCAAAGTTTGTTCAAATAAAAGCCCTAGGGTCAAAATTGGCCCTGCCCCGGGGGACATTGATTTTCCTTATATGTGTATAGCAAAAACTTAAAAATCTGATTTAAAAAAAAACCAAATAGCTAGAGTTTAGATATTAAGCATGAAACATCTTCTAGTGAGTGTCAAATGGGGTCAAAACTGGCCCTGCCCTAGGGGTGTCATTGCTTTTAACTATATGTGTATAGTTAAATCTTAATTTTTTTTAAAAAAAACTCAACGAGCCAAACCTTAGATGTTTAGCATGAAATATCTTCTAATGGGTGTCTACCAAGTTCGTTCAAACAAAAGCCCTGGGGTTTAAACTGGCCCCGCTCTGGGGGCCTATATACAGGTGAGCGACTTCAGGGCCATCATGGCCCTCTTGTTTATAATGGTGCTTTATTATACGTTAGGTAGTTGATGAGTGGCATTTTTAAAATAAATTACATGCGTATAAAAATCTGGAAACAAAGTGATCCCTAAAATATAACAACACTGAAGTGAACTTTTTACAGCTGCCACACAGCACTTGACACCTGCTGTTGTGAAGTAACAAAGTGATCCCTCGGAAGCATTAATCACAACAAATTACAAGAGAATCGCAGACTCGGTTTGATTGAGTCTGTTGAGGGATAATAAATACGTGCAACATCTCTCACGCCCCCTAAATCCGTTGCTGCGTAAATTGTTGCTTATGCATCTTGTCATCTATACTGTATATTTATTAAGTTATAACAAATAGTTTTGTTTTATGTTTTGAAGAATTTATCTCTGTCAGTGACGATTTGATAAGTATGAATTTATCTTTATTTACATATATAATCAGTTCAATAAAAACAAACGCTTTTCTTAAGCTTTCGACGTTTAGTCTTTTTCAGAAAAAATTGACGTTTATAAAATAACAAATGACAAATGACGCAACGTCCGTTTAACTATACGCTAAACAGATTTAACGTGACGTTAACGCGGGAATAAAAACTTTGTCCAATAAATACAGAATCTTTCATGAATATAAAATAAAGCAATATACAAACAATTATAAATATAAAATGAATCTGCACATTTGATACAAAAATTAATGATAATAAAAACCTTGATATGAGAAAAAAAACATACTACATGTATATGTATACCGGCTCAATAATATGCTTGAAAGATGACAAAGTCATACATTGCACAAAGCTTTTGCATTCATACCATTAGGAGATAATGTGTTAAGCTTATGAATCCAGTATGATTCTTGTTATAAGCGTTCCATATCATCAGAGACAATCTCTATAGGCATAAATTTAAAATCCTTAACACAATGATTCCTTTTATTAAAGTGTGTAGCGACATTGGTAGAAAATTACGGATCGGAAAACTTGTTGATATCAAACCTATGGCTTTTCATGCGTTAAGACACTTGTTGCTTCGTTTGACCAACATATTGCTCTTCATTTATCACATGTGACAAGATATATAACATTTCGTAGAACAATCAGTATTATTATTTACATGATAATTCCTACTAAGACTATAAGTACTAATAAATATATTACTTTCAATAATGGAGCTGCAATGTGTACATCTACTTCTATTACATTTGGATGAACATTTCGTATTTTTGTTATTAGACCTAATATTAGTATTAATAAGAATGTCTTTTAGATTTTTTAGGTCTTTTTAAATGCAACAAAGGTTTACTTTCATGAAGCTTTGCACAGAAACATTTACTTGAAAGTTTAAGTAAATCCCAATACTTTTTAATTATATTACTAATGTTAGGTAAAGTTGGGTTATACTCAACAACAAAGGGAATAACACTGCATCACTTGTTTTTGTTGTTAGTACACAGGGCCTCATATCCTGTGTTAGACATGAAACTTACTTAGTGCGTTATCAATAACATTGATAGGATAATTTCTTGCTTTGAAGTATGTACGTAAATTCTGTAAAGAATCGTTGAAAACATTATCGTCAGAAATGATACGGCGATAACGTTTTCCTTGACTGTACGGAATACCATTTTTACAAGACACTGGGTGACAGGAAGAGTATTCTAAATACTGATGATTGTCTGTCTCTTTAACATGTATATCAGTGTGAATAATATTGTTTTCGTCTAATGAAACGTTTACATCTAAAAATGATACGAGAGATTTAGAAACGTTCGCTGTAAATTTCGCACTAAATGTCCGCTAAAATGCATGCTATCCAAAAGCTCTCAATATCAATATGTGTAAAACATATACCGACATATTACCTCATATTGCCGTCGGGTGGTGTTTCATTAATTACGACAATTAATCCCGACTGACAGATAATCAATATCACAGCAGCAGATATCTATCTAATATTACCCTGCCTCATACCCCACTGTTACATGATTTCATCCAAGATAGTCATCTTACCAAGTAGATCTACATGTATAATCAAAGCCAGACCACTAAGACCATTTCGATAAAATCTCTTTCCTTATTAGATATTCATTATACCCAGTATAAAGAACATAACTCAGTGCCTAAAGGGCGGATGAACCTTCACACCTTAACAGCCATTTACTTTTGAAACGCTTATTTATATATATAAATGATCATCTGCAGGTAAAGCTGAATATGAGACTGCACAACCAGAATTCTCTACAAATAAGCCATGTTTAATCATTAATGAAGTCCTATGTACATGTATTCTTATCGTGTTACCTAAAGTCCAAAGTGCATCGAATTTAAAGCATAACACAAATGTGTGTAAAAGGATTTTTATTTTATATTTACTGTGAAGTAATCAATGAACGTTTTTTTAAAATGTTTTCTTTATGAAAAAAAACCAAACTTCAAAATACGCTTTGGGCTAATCTCATTTATTTAATAGCCGAATGTCTTTTACGGAATGGGCAACAACTCGGGTGTCAGTCTTTATACCAAAGGGATAATAGGCCTAATCTAAATTATGGTCAGTCTGCCATTAGTGGTCTACATTGACAAGTTGTATCTATGTAAAATGTACAAGAGCCATGTCAACATGGCCATCCCCCGCCGAATGTGTTTGCTCATTGGAAGAATGTATATGTAGTAGAGCAGAATAATTCCATTTTAAGAGGTCATTTGGTAATGAAAACTGATGGCTATAGTGATAACAGATTTGAAACCTATGTGAATACTGATGGCTGAAAATAACAAAAAAATAATGCAGGGTAGGTTATCATTCTTGTGTGCTGCATCCCTCCTCAGTAAAATCTATCCACCTATGAAGTTTCAAGTTGATACCTCAAATACTTTTTGAGAAAAAAAATGAATTGAAAAATTAAGTATGAAAAATAACAAAGGGCAATAACTCAAAAATTATGAAAGGTATAGTTATCGTTCTTGTGCACTGCACACCTCCTGAGTTAGATCTATGCACCTATGAAGTTTCATAATGATATCTCAAAGGCCTTTTGAGTTATGCTCTGGACAAAAATTAATTTTGAAAAATAAAAAAAAAGGCAATAACTAAACAATTATGCAGGGTAGAGTTATCAATTACTCTGCAGAGATCTATCCACCTAGAAGTTATATCAAAATACTTTTTTGAGAAAAGCTCCGGACAAATAGTATGAAAAAGAACAAAGGGCAATCTTCAAAATTGTACAATGAGTTATCTTCTTGTGCACAGCATTCCTCCTCAATAAAAATCTATCCCTATGACATTTTCATGTTGACATCTCAACACTTTTGATGACATCTCAAACACTTTTGAGTTATGCTCCAACTCGGGTGAAAATTAAGTATGAAAAATAACAAAGGGCAATAACTCAAAAATTATGAAAGGTAGAGTTATCATTCTTGTGCACTGCACACCTGAGTTAGATCTATGCACCTATGAAGTTTCATTTTGATATTCTCAAAGGCCTTTTGAGTTATGCTCTGGACAAAAAATTAATTTTGAAAATAACAAAGGGCATTAACTCAAAAATTATGCAGGGTAGAGTTATCATTCTTGTGCACTGCACTCTTCCTCAATGAGATACATCCACCTATGTAGTTTCAAGTTGATACCTCAAATACTTTTTGAGATAAAGCTCTGGACAAAATAGCATGAAAAAAGAACAAAGGGCAATAACTCAAAAATGGTTAGGGGAAGAGCTTATCATTCTTGCGCGACAACATTCCCCTCAATAAGATCTATCCACCTATGACATTTCATGTTGATCATCTCAAACACTTTTTTTGAGTTATGCTCCACTCAGGTGAAAAATTAAGTATGAAAAATAACAAAGGGCAATAACTCAAAAATTTGTATGAAAAGGTAGAGTTATCATTCTTTGTGCACTGCACACCTCCTGAGTGAGATCTATGACCTATGAAGTTTTCATGTTGATATCTCATAGGCTTTTGGAGTTACTGCTCTGGACAAAAAATCAATTTTTTGAAAAATAAACAAAGGGCAATAACTCAAAAATTATGCAGGGCTTGTAGAGTTATCATGTCTTGTGCACTGCACTCCTCCTCAATGAGGTCTATCCACCTATGAAGTTTCAAGTTGATAACTCAAATACTTTTAGAGATATGCTCCGGACAAAAATGTCGGACGGAAGGAAGGACGGAAGGAGACTATTTCTATATCCCCCGCCGCCTTTTCGGCGGGGGATAATAATTTCATTTATCTTGCAGCTTACTTTAGAAATACGGAAGCAATGTCACTATGCTTTATTTATTGAATACCAAATTATTAGGGGGTTTTAGTATGATCAGCCATCTTATAAAAATATGCGCAATATAATCTGTCAAGAAATTAGGGGTCAGGGTCAGAATATAAACAACACTGTAGCAGTTTTTAAGTATTCTTGTTTTTATTGAGTTCTTTTCTTTCTTTTATGGAACAGAAATAAATCAAAATTAAACAGCCAAATTAGAACCCAATGCCGCACAATTTGTGTATAAATTTGAAAGAGAAAGATAAAAGAAGTAGTTTTTCAGTTTGTTAACTGTTGGAAACAGTCCCTAAAACACTACATGTCATATATTAAGTTCTTGTTAAAGGCCCATTATGCCTCAAAAATGCTTTTCATTTTTTATTATTTTTTTTATTTTTGGTATCTTGTTAGTTTCCAAAAAATACTCATTTGCCATATAGATAAACTATCTAGCTTTGTAGGCAATTTGTATAATGAATAAGTATTAAGTATGGAAATCAATATACTACTTTAGTTTACATTTTGCTACCTTAACGGACATAACTGCACATTCCGTTCTACTATCTTCAGCTGTTAAACATCTAACATGCTCTAAATCCGTAATTAAAACATTAAACTCATGTTTGACATTTCTAAAGAATCAAATAAAAATGGAATTGTAAGGCATAATGTGCTTTTAAACTAATAAAATCTTAACCATTCAAAACAAGTTCAAGTTTATTCTATATTCTTTTTGGCTTGCAGCCACGGCTGCAAGCCATTTCATATGGAAAACTTGTTCCGGTTAGGTGGTTTCCTGCTTACATCTGTTGGTGCATGATTGAACGGAAAACCAGCTCCAATCGTGCCAATCGCAACTTTTCGGCCTTTTCCGTCACTCTTCGGATTAATGATAATAGCCGATGTAGTTCCGATTGCAATCGTGACAATTTGGGCGATTCCGTCATACTGCGGAATCAGACGAAGTAATATTACGGAAATCTAAGCTATTTTAGTTACTTCGGTAATCCCAGTTTGTTTATATAAGTAGGATTTCTATTTTTACTTGATTTATCGGTTTAAACCGTAATGGTGAGGTAATCTAAAAATAGCCCATGCATATCATTAACCTTCCCACCCCTCTCCAGTTAAAGTAGCAAAGCGTGACGTAACAGCTGTGAGGAGTTTGGTGCTGATATCGTCTATTTGTGATCGTGTAACATAGTTGATACATGCTTATTAATTGGTACCACGTAACGAAGTATTTTAGTGCATTTACTTGTCTATAAAGCAAAGGAATGATTTCGATGCGAAAAAGGGGAAATGAAATGTGCACACTTGTTTTCCTTCAGTATCACGTTATATAGTATTTTTACGATTGATCATTTTCTTTATTAGTTTTATACAATAGAGAATAGATTTCAAGTCGTTTTGACAAAAAATATTCGGTTTTCCAAAAAAAAATCCAACTAAATAAACCCTTTATGAAATACAAATACCGTAATTCAAAAAAAAAATGTGATAATAAATTGAGACCAAAAAAACCACACAATTTTAAAGGGTTGGGATGAAGGCACAACTGTGCAAGCCTTTCCTTTTAAAAGGAAACTTTATTTTTTTTTCGTAAAGCATACTTATCTAAAAAGACATTTGGTTTAAACAATGAGGTTGACCTAAAACTGGTTATTGTAATGTAAGATGCTATCATACCATCAAGTAATTTGATATATGAGTCAATATATTAACAAGGACACATTCTTTGTCAAGTTTCCAACAGCTAACAAAAACAGATAAATAATGCAGCAATACAAACACCTTTTTTTAATGTCAAACATGTGGTCCTTTGCCAAAATCTGATAAACCTTTTAGTAAACAACCTTCATAGATAACATAATTTGGATAGCATTCTTCAGGTTTTATCAGCATATGTTTAAACTAAAGCTATTTTTTTAAAGATCTTAACATGTTAAAAGTTAACTTTGCTACTCTGATATAAACAACTTATTGTATAATAAATAAGCTACTGATTTAGTGATTATCATTTATATGATGTATGGTAATTTCATAAGCTTTAAGAATTATGGGTCAAAATACTGGAGTAGGCCACATTATCACTGAATTATTTATCTCAAATTCATCTTGTAAGGTAAAGACAGTGTTTTTTTCTTCTTAATATTCAAAAACATAGACTCCTCCATCATTAAAGCCAATTGGAGCAGACTTGGTATCAAATACAGTCCCAACAGAATTGGTTCCTGAAGAATCATAGACCAGGGTAAGTTTATCTGCAATGTCCTTGAATCCAGCTGTCTTTGATCCTCTGTTAACAGCCACTAGGTAGCCTGGGAAACCTTCGGCTTTACGTGTGAAGTACAGAATATCATTGTAAATCTTGATCTCAATATTACCAAACTGGAATGATTCCTTAGACCGCAGCTTTACCAGATCTTCAAACGAATTTAGGATAGTATACCCAACCAAATGAGCTCGGTTGAACTGCAAGTATAAAGAAGTTTATTTTAATAATGATTAATACTGGGAAAGAAATTTTCAGTAACAACCTTTTCAATTACAGGATAACTTTTCTTCTTTCTTAGCTTAAAAAGCTACATGTGTATTTAATGTCAAACTGAAAGCAATTGTATAGTATGAAGAAAATAAATATCTTGGAAACATTTTTTTTGTCTTAATGCTTACCTCTACATTACTATAGGAGTAATCTGTGTTGACTGGTAGCCATGGTTTCACATCTGCTGCACAGAAACCAGCATTTAAGTCAGAGGTCCACAACATCGGTGTACGGTAAGGGTCTCTTGATATCTAAAATAGTGAAATAAGATGCTGTCAGATGAGTTTACATGTACACATATAAAGAGAGTCCGAAAAAGATCAAAACTTTTTTAATCTCAAAAATATCTACAGTTTACTTAAAGCTTGAAGTAACAAAATATTCTGAAAATGTTTTAAGATAGAATGACACCATTGAAGAGTCTGTTTAATTAAAAAGAAAGAATCCGGCAGTTTTTTTTTTAACACAGAATAGTACAGGAATTGAATAAATTCACACCAGAGCGAGGACTTAACCAAACTGACCTGTCCTGGTAATTTAGCTACAGGATCTGAATTGTTGGTAATAACGCCATTCTTCATTGCAATTTCGTCACCATAGTAAACAATTGGTGTGCCGGGCATCAAAAGGTGGAATGCTTGCCAAGCTTTTTGTAGAGCTTCACTCACAACACTTCCAAAGCGAGGACTGTTCTCATTGTCAACCTGTTAAAGAAAAGGCAAATATTTTCTAAGATCAAAAATAATAAACTCACGAACCTGTTCCAGTATCATTATAGTATCATCTGTATTCATTGTCGAGCATAAATAAGAAAGTCATAAATACTATAAATACATTTTCTGAACAGAAAAAATTATCTAAATACCTAGGATGAAACGAATCAAGTTTTTCTTGAACATGTCAAAACATAACAAGCACAAAAAGTAAATATCGCCAAGGTAAAGATAACTGAAAACATCAGTAAACAAAACATACCTGCCATCCTCTCCATCCCTCGGTAGTTGACATTAATTTGTCCTTCATACACTCTTGGTCACAGGAGTCATCAACACCGATGAGAACATCGGAAATCACAATGTGTATACCAGCATTGTGATAGTCTAACGTGTTGTTTCCTTTCTCCTCAATGTTGGCAATCAGCACCCTATACAATTAATACACACAACATGTTTATTATTTTGAAAATGGTAAAAAATAACAAAATATAAGTAGTTAAATATCACATTTAAAGTCTATTTACTCCAAAAACTAAGAAAATTCAAATAGTGTTTAACAGAACGATATCTGTTTTTATTGGTGTATAATAAATTCACTGTCACACAAAAAACTAAATCAATTTCTCATTACCACCCTGTGAATCTTCACCATGACAAATTTAACCTCATCATAACTGACTTATAAATGTCATTGGACAGTGGTCAAACATACTACATGACTTTTGTGCCTACTAATTTTAACATAAACAAACAAAGTTAACAATACATTTATTAAAATCTCTAAATCAGTTCAGTTTTTATTTTAATAAACAGGAAAACTAGATCTTGAAAAAGAATAATCAGTGGATATGCTGTTGGGAAAAAAATGAAATGCCAATCACCTTTCTCTTCCTGGTTTGTCAGAGTAAGAGTTGATTATTCCTCTCCATCTTTCCACCAATCCTAGGTTTTCTGGTTGATCTACAGTGTGTTCTCCCGCTGTGCCCTCGTCAGTACTAGTCTCATTGTTCTCAACCAGTCTCTGTAATCCTTGAACAGCAAATCCATCTACTCCCTTGTCCAACCAGAACCTCAATACTCCCTATAAATAAAATCTAGACATTTAATAAACATTCGAAATTTACACAGTCACTACATGATGCACCAGCAGAAATAATGAAAAGTGCAAAAATAACAATTTTCTTAAGAAAAAAAATCCCACTTGGATATTCCATATGTAATTTTGACAGTAGCAATATTTGACAAGAGACGTGTTACTTACATCAAGATTGGCAAGTACATTCTCATCCCTCAAGTTAAGGTCTGGATATTCTGGCAAGTAAGAATGATAGTACCATTCCTTCCTATCTGTACTGTATGTCCATGCAGGGGTGTTATAGACAGTCACCTGAAAAGATTGTCAAATTGACTCTGATGTGTTACTTTATAAAATATTGGTATAAATATTGAAAACCCATTTTGTCCAGAAGTTCAAAAATATTCTCTCAAGAAATATATAAAAATAAAGCCAATTAATTTTAACATAGCATATGAACTCCTATTTACATTTACTTAAACAAGCATGTAGTAGACAAACATTTTTTCTTAATACTGCTGATTAGATTGTATACATTGAAAGACTGAAAGGTATACTAACTATATGAAACAGTAAAATACTTACCCAGTTGTTTGGTGGATTCACAGATGGGTCTGAACCCGTGCCCTTAGCCCATATATAGAAGTTCTCAAACCCAACTTCCTTCATTTCACTCTTTGTGAACCATTCATGTTTCTTACCAGTATGATTTGGGATAAAGTCCAGAACAAGTCTCATTCCTGAAATTTGTGAAAGTGGAAAACTCAATAATTAATTCACGAATCAATTATTTCATACAAGTCCTTTTTAAAAGGGCAACTTTTGGGAAAATGAGAGCTCATTTTATAAGAATATTAATTTCAATACAAACTTTTATATAAGAATATTAATTTCAATACAAACTTTTAAACTGAAATGGTGTTATCTTAAAATGTTTAAGAATGATGCTTATCCGACTACAGTTTTAGCTGCCTATACAACAGAATACAATTTAACATTTATCAAGACACCGTTAAGGCAGAGACATAGATGTCTCTGGTTAAGGGGAGGGATAAAAAATGGAAGCTTAGATTGTACAACAATCTCAAAAGTAAAAGCTTAGCATGACTGCACAAATAAAGCCAAATACATGTGGTTGCTTGGGAATCCAGAATCTTAGCATCACAATGAACTAACAATTTTTTTAATGAACTGACCTCACTAATAATATTCTATGCCTATATTTATGCTCATCGATCAAATGTATTTATGTTGCCCTTTAAGTTTAGTTCTTTATTTCAACTGCCAGAACATACTGGTATACACTTATATATAAATGCAATTTTAATATGTAAACAGCTGCATGCAAGTACCTTTTTTCTTTGTATCTTTCCTAAGGTCATCAAATGCTTGCATAGTTCCGAATGATTCATCAACCTGCTTGTGGTCCACCACGTCATTGTTGTCGTATGAATTGTCACCAGATTTGTAGATAGAGTTCAGCCAGAATGCATTCACACCAATAGACTGTAGGTACTCCACCTTACTTGCTACTCCTGTAAAAGTTTGAAGAATACACTGTTATCTAACAAATTACAGGGATTTTTTAGCTTATCTTATAGTCGATATTCGGTCATATTCCCAATTGAAAATAATACCAATCCACAGGAAAACATTCCCAACTTAAAGTTTCAAAATAAATATATAATAAAAAACAAATTCTTAAATCTTTGAAAATAAGGGCTTCTTTACTGTTATGGTGCTTAAATGTTCATAGTGAATCTTTGCATTCATTTAATCACTGCAAAATTTAAGTTAAGCATTTCCCCCAATTTTTAACAAAACATCCCTGAAATTCCCGATTCCATCAATCCATGGGTCCCAAAATCCTGGGAAAAACCTGAATTATCGTTTATATTATAATCGGGGTTGAAGTCCCGCTGACACTGTGAAATTAAGGGAACAGTATAATGATAATAAAATGTAGAAACAATAAGTAGTCACAAAGTTTAGGTAAAATTTCCCAGAGCTTAATGAGTAAATCTGTAATGTACCGTAAAACGGTGGTAAGGTAGCTTTTCAAAAAGGTTAATAAACTAGATCTAAAGAAAATGGAATGCACCAGATAGTACACACTAGAGACATGGTCAATTCAGGATATAGCCTATTTGGCTAGATAGTCTCCCAAATCAGGAGACCGAAATGCAATGTTCAATGCAATATTACATCATCCAATACAAGTTGACCCACTTACAGAGAAAAAAAATTATAAACGCCTCTTATACCTGACAGATCTCCAACTCCTGCACCATCTGTTCCTGCTTTTGACGAGTCCTTGAATGATTTTACGTTCACCTGATACACCACATCTGTTTGGTACCATTTTTGGTCTGGTCTTTTCGGACATTTCGGTGCCACAACAATTATAACAATCGCAGCAACAAGCATAGCAACCCATCCTATCCAGAAGAGGGCAAATAAAATCATCCGAGTACGAACCCAAAATGGATCACTGGCATATTTCATCAACTCATCTTTCCCCAACCCAGTGAATGAAGCTTCGGAGCCGACTTCGATCACACACTGGTCGTCCAAACCACTTTTACCGTTCAAAAACTTTGCTTTCGAGTCATCAAGATCATCGGCTGTTGCAGAATCATCATACTCCTCTTTCAAACTCTGCTTTTCATCAGGGTGATTAGTGTTTTCGTTACTCATATCTGTATTATTTTTGAAAATTTCCTTTCTCCTTCTCTCTGTCCTTCGCAAAATAAGTCCTCCGACAAGGCGTTTCCGGTGCTATGCTGACGTCAGAACGTCGGGCTTATTATTGATACAAGGGGTGGTGGGTTTCATGGAATTCTCAATTGCGTAAGAAACACAATATATAGAATATCTTAAAGGATAAAACCATACATGCTAAATTATTTTAAATAAAACATCAGCAAAGTTTGATTTCTTCTAAATAAATTGCGTAAAAGTATCTTAGATCATATATTCGAACTACCTGCAAATAAAATACCATAGTCGACGCATGCGCTGAAAAATTGCCGCACACATGGAAACGTTTTATTGCATCATGTTTGGACCTTATCCAAATCTAGATCTGGTATGCGCCAGTTTTAATTAATTTTTCTTGTGTCTGCATACCAGTCAAGCAAAAATGGCTGAAAAAAAAAGTTAAGTACTCATATGAATAGAATAAAGTTTATACAGTACCAATCATGAGTCATATTTCATGGTATATCTAAGTAGTTTCGTCGAACTACAGGTTCGGCGAACTGATCTAAAACAGGTTGTTGGGAACGTCAATTATCGCGGGTCGTAATGAGTGGTTTATCACACATTTTCATGCATTTAAAAACAAGATACTGTATTGAAAATTTAAACCTATTATTTATAATTTACTTTAGTATAATCTGGGACATAAGATAATAAGATTATCTTATGTCCCAGGTATAATAGTAATTAATAATATTTACATAAAAGCATAACACAATATGTAAGAGATCTCGGTGAACAAACAACATCATTGAATATATATATACATGTACATTGTTTGAGTAAAACCTAATTTTTTTACACAACGTAATATATGAACCATGTCTACTGTGCATAACATAAGATCGACGAAACCACTTTCGCACCTCTTCATAAATTAAGTTCGCCGAACCGGTAGTTCGACGAAACCACCATAATTCTAATTATTATTATTATTCTTCCTCCAGTAATGAGTATAGTGAAGGGCCGCTGCTGCGCGGCATTTTCTCACTTTGGTTAAAATTCGTAGATATCTATATAACTTACATTATGTTCTATTTTGTTTTACAATCAATTCCACCAGAGACATATATATATATATATATATATATATATATATATATATATATATATATATATATATATATATATATATATATATATATATATATATATATATATATATATATATATAGATAGATAGATATCATTTATCTATATCTCTGAATCCACAGAGAACTTTACACTAGACTCTGTATGTTCAATAGTATAAATCTATAATAAATTACATTTATTGCTGAGCTTACATTGCAAATGTTTTTAAGAGACTTCACCTGGTACTTGTAAATGAACGTGACTGAACGGATGGTCAAATATTGAAATTTTTCAAAAATTCTCAAAGATCATTTAAGTATACAGTCATGTAGAGCGCGTCTATATAAAGTCAACTCTTTACTGTAACTTGACGGTCATAGGTCCCATTGCATTTTTGAAAAAGAATTCTCCTAAGTAAAAAAAATTGTGTCTTAAATATGTATATTTTGGGTCAGAATCTTGTTTTTATATATTCAAGGGGGAGGAACTGTTTCACGCAGGATGGACCAGCGTTCTTATGATAACTTGTTTGGAGTTCTTATGATAACTGTCACGGAGTCCGGATTTCTGTGAAAAACTTTTCTATATATACTTGGAGAACTCACGTGAAAAATGGTTATTTGGATATTTTACTCAAAACTACACGATTTTATTTTAAAAGGCGATGAAAAATGGATTAAAGGGTTTTCTGAAGCATAATACAATATGTAGGGCAAGCTTAATTATCAAAGTTTAATATAGCACCTCAAACTCCGCATTATAAAGGTAAAAATGACCCTTTTTTACGTGAGTTCTCCACGTATATAGAAAAGTTTTCCACAGAACTCCGTAACGTTTTCTAGGAACTCCGTGACAGTTATCATAAGAACTCCAAACAAGTTATCATAAGAACCCCATCCTTCGTGTAACAGTTCCTCCCCCGGGCCGTGATATATAAAATTTTGTATGGCAGGGCAATACTTAGAAGCGATTCTGAACATTATAGCACATAACATGTTTATCGTACATCCGTGCCGCTTTTGCGACTCCTAAAATACGGTATTGCACGACCGTGCATATATTTTTAAGACGCAGTAAATGTTAGCGTTATACTACAGGTGCGTCAATGAAAAATGTTTCTTTTTCAATTTAACAGGTTTTATTTTGGGTATGTGCTGATGTGATAAATAGTAAGAGGATATTTTTTCGTTTGAGTGAAATATGGAATATATTTTCACGAAACATGATAAAATGCCACATATTTTCACGAGCCGGGACGGCGAGTGAAAATATGTGGCATTTTATCATGTTGAGTGAAAATATATACCATATTTCACGAAAAACGAAAAAATAACCTTTTTATTTAATTTCATTATCAAAGATAAATGGTTACGAAACCTATTGCTTGCTACGCAACTGCAATTGTACAGCGCGCAGCAATATGTTATTACGTCTTGTCTTGCACGCGATATTTGGCGCTACCTTGTGACGTCACGTAAACAACTGTTTAAACGTCTGTACAGCGTTAATAACTGAATTAAAGATATTGGTGTTCGGATTTATTTTCTTAGTTAGACCATTTTCTATCATTCTAGATAGTTTTCAAAGCAAAATTCAACAAAAAGTTGTTTTGTATTTCTCAGATTTTTCAAACAAAATGGCGAAAGAAGTCCCTTAAAATAAATATGAGTTTTGACTCCGCCCACTTTCATATTTATATTTCATATTTATTTTTAAAAAATATGAAATATATTTGACTGATATAGCACCATATTTCATGGATAAAATTAAATAATAAGAGGATATTTTTTCGTTTGCGTGAAATATGGAATGTATTTTCACTCAACATGATAAAATGCCACATATTTTCACGAGCCGGTACGGCGAGTGAAAATATGTGGCATTTTATCATGTTGAGTGAAAACATATACCATATTTCACGAAAAACGAAAAAATAACCTTTTTATTTAATTTCATTATCAAAGAAAATGGTAACGAATCCCCTTACTTGCTACCAACTGCAATTGTACAGCGCGCAGTAATTTATGCGTAAGCACGCGCTGTTTGGCGCTACATTGTGACGTCATGTAAACAACTCTTTAAACGTCTGTACAACGTTAATTACTGAATTAAAGATATTGGTGTTCGGATTAATTTTCTTAGTTAGACCATTTTCTATCATGCTAGATAGTTTTCAAAACAATATTCAAGAAAAAGTTGTTTTGTTTTCATCAGATTTTTCAAACAAAACGGCGAAAGAAGTCCCTTAAAATAAATATGAGTTTTGACTCCGCCCACTTTCATATTTATATTTCATATTTATTTTTTAAAAATATGGAAAATATTTGACTGATATAGCACCATATTTCATGGGTAAAATTAAATAAAATATTATATTCGTGTACGTTTAAGACTAAATTTATTGAACGAGTTGAATAATATTATATTATGCTGCATAACATAATTTTATTCGACTGTTTCAATAAATTCAGTATTTAACTTACACTCATTCAATACCCTCTGTATCTTAAATCGAGCGTGACTTATAATTAGCTGAACTATCTCCTGTCCTTGCAGACTGAGCCAAGAAGCTCATGTTTATTCTCGCAGCTCGTACTAGACGTGCTTACTCGAACCTTTGACTGAACATTGCAATCACCACACATTACAATCAAATGGACAGACAATCGTTCATTCGTCGACAGCCGTACTAATATATACATGTCGGTGTAAAAACACAATTCACGAACGGTAAATATTTCATCTTTTTTAAACATATCCCAACTGTGTTCGAGTAAATCAATGTTATGGATTCACAGCTAATATCAGAAAGAGTCCTTAGTAATTTAAGCTGGAGTAGTGGGGATCAGAGAAGTGGAGGATCAAACTCAAGACTGCTGGACCCTGAATTTGTTGGACAATATAAAAGCAGAAAGAATACTGATTACCAGTGTCTAGGGCTTGGTCATTTAAGCTGTGTCATGAAAATTAAGAATGACAACTAAAACGAAGGTAAGCTTCGTGAAAATAAGAAAAAAATTGTATTAATTCCCTTCATTGTAAATTATCTGCCCTTGAATTTAACAAAAAAGTCCAATTCAAGGACAGATAACTCAAAAACGAGAACGGTGACCCCAATTTTTTTCGCTTAAAATATTTCTGTTATCATATTCTAACAACATGTCAAGTTTAAAGAAATTCTATTGAACAGTTTTAATTTTGCCTATATGTCTATATGAATACTCCGGAAAACGGCTTTAACAGAAACACCAACATTTAATTTTCAAAGACATTAGGGAGTATGTGTTAGAGAGAAGGAACTCTTAATTTTTCTTATTTAATAAGAATTAAATATTAGAGAAATACGTTTCAGTTTTACATATACTTTATTCATTACTATGCAACAAGATGTAAAACATATACATATTCTAAAATCAGACATACATGTATGACATAACGTAACAGAAAATTAAAAATAAGAAGAGGATAATTATCCAAATAAAAATCTTAAATTAAAATATATACAATAGCACCAGAAAGGCAGGGCAATATAAGCGAAAATAATTTAAGTAATTTCTTTTTTATATTGGCATTTTAATTACTATTAGGAAGAGATCCATTCTTCATTAAACTTGTACCAAACAAGTCCTTATATGATACTAAGTATACCCTAGAGACCTGACATCACGCTAGGTACATGACTGATTCATGTAAATTTTGCTAAGATCTATATTGCCACATGCCAAATAATTATTCAGCTCTTGTCATTGACAAGAGCTTAATAATTATTTGGCAAGTGACACTGATACACGCTAAATATCTTAGTATTTTAGTTTTTACACAAGAAGACTTATATAAGTTTATAAAAAGTAATTGACCCATGGGTGAGCTAATATTGGCCCCTGGTGCATGATTTTCATTACTGTTACAGAAGTCTACAAGACAATGATATGCGAATAGAATGCCAGCCATTGTGCAAGAAATTGCACATTTTGATGGTCAAGTAAACCAATTCTGAAGTGAAAAGACATGACAGTTTATTTGAAAATGGACCAACTGTATATCTTGAGAGATATGTTCATTTCTGCTTCAGAATATTTTCACAATAATAAATGACCTTGTAAAACAAATCACATACCCATGTTGATACAGTTTTACAACAAAATGTTACTGCAGCAAATTGTCCCAATTCCCCAAACACCTAAATGATGAAACATATGAAATGGTAAGAACATTTGCAAATATTGGTTACTAAATTCACAGAATTTTTGTTACGATTTCTGACAAGACTTTTGACATGGTGTTATTTTCTCTGGACTTACCCCCAAAGATAGTCCCTGTTTTAAAACTTGCCTTACATTGACATTTATCCTTGACCTTTCTATATACATGTCAAACGGTTCCCAATTAGTTTTCTCTATAACTGATTTCATTATAGTACCAAGTTCTTTAGTAGAACAATTATTTCCTTTTATTGTAGGAGTCACTATCACATTTTCATCTGATTCTGTCATGTCTGATTGGACGATATTTATAGATGGTGGTTTCTGATTGGTTCCTCCACTGTATGGATCATCTTCAATATCCGAATCCTCTTTTTGACAAAATGAATTATTTTTGTCATCGATTTCTGACCGACTAGTATTGATAACATTATTAGTTTCAGTATTGCCGAAGAAACAGGATCTTAAATGGTCTTTCTTTCCAGGAAGAATTCTAGGAACAGCATGGTAACTGAGTCTAGCCTTGCCTGTCATCAAACATATATCCCCACTGTTTAGAAATAAAGGAATTGGCTCTGTCTCCTTGGTAGGGCCTCCTATCAAGAATATACAGGACGAGCCAAAACTGAAATATATTACACAAAAAATCATCAAAAAATGACTTATTAACAACAAAACAAGACCAGTCTCCCATCAGCACATTCCAATTTCCCAAGTGCTTGAAAATATGACAATATTAAGTGATATAAGTGAAATTAACTAAACACTTATCTCTAATAAAGTCACTACTAGAAACAGGAACACCTGTAGGAAAAACTTTAATTATAGTGATTATAATTATGCTACCTTGAAATTTCCTAAAAGCTTTTAATAAGTGGACACCCCAACCACAAATACATGATGATGCAAAAAGATTGGTATGATTAAAATGAGTTCGAAAAATTTCATACATCTAACTACAATATACATGTACTTTATCATCTTATAAAAAAACTATAACCTTGTCTTTTTATCCTTTAGTTTTATGCTTTAGTTTAAAAGCTAATAGTCTAGTTTTGAACCACTCACAAATCTGTTTCCTGGGTCCAAGGTTATAAAGAAAGAATTTGATTAGTCAGAAACTGCCACAAAATGTACACTGACCAATGAAAATCCTGAGATTTAAGACAGAATTTTTGAAAAAGTTTTATAACCTCCAGTCCTAGTACTTTCCAGTACTGGTGTACAATAAAGAAATATACGGTACTTGTGACACAAATAAGGGTTAAACCGATGATACCAGTTGAGAGGCAGATATTTTACTGAGAAATCACTCTGCCATCACTCCTCTTATTTGCTTTACCTGAAGGATATAAGTGGTGCAGCCTTGTCAAGCTCGGACACATCTGTATGACCCATCAATGTTGACTCCATACGATAATAATTGACTATACCAGCCTCTGATGAGTAAGCATCATAGCCCAACACTGCAGCAATATAAGTACATATATGTCGCAGATCATCTGGAAACGCCTGGATACGGTCAGCAAAATATTCCTGTAAAATATTCATTAAAATATTTATTTTATTACACAAATTTTAATACATTTTCTTTGTGTGAAAGCTATAAAATGCAATGGAATGGAATTGGTAATTATATAACAGCTTTCCGAAACTGCTACATACATCCAAGACAATTAAATGTTGTTATTAAATACCAGTACATGTATAATCGCAAATATCTATTTATGAATTTTCTTTGACTGCAACAGGATAGAGCAAAAAATAATTAATTATCTAAAATATCGAGGGGATATCAAAAGCAATCATATGATTACAATTCATATGAGTATATACTACAAACTTCTTTCACTAAAGCAACTTTGTAAAGAAAGCTAAATTGTGATTATATTCTTTAGAAATAGCCAAAATCAATTTAGCAATTGAAACAAGTTGTACAGAAATATGGTATAAGCTTGAAAGGTTATGTATGATTTTAATCATTTTGTAACAAGCTGTTCATCAAATATTGAAAAATAACAGCAAAAGAGACAAACATCAAACAACTTAACATACAGCAACTAAACATACAGCATAATTTTTGTTAAAGAACTAAACAGCCTTTGAGACCTTAAGGTTACGTAAATTTGAAAAATAGTAAATTTAGATAACCTTACTGAAGTCGCAAAATGCTGATATCAATATTCAAATGCTTTGCAAAACAATATTGGTACATCTGAATATTGTCTGAACTGTCTATATAAGGTACATACAAGTTGGGTATGTTACTAACTCGGTTTATATACAAAATTGTTATACGCAAGACATATGAAAATCATAAATTTCAGACAATTTTTTTGTCTTTAAAAATATGCATATTACCAGCATTATTTCATTTAGCTGATAATTAGTAAAAGTGTATGATTTTTGTTCTATACTTGTAGAATATCTGTTATACCTGTTTAAGATAGGAGCTGAAAGTTGTATCTCACCTTAGTATTCCATTCATACTGATAGCCAAGTGTAGCCCATCTAAGTTTCATCAGTAAACTGTCTTTTCCCAGATCTGGCCTGTAATATACACCATATATTCCATCATATAAAAATAATTCTGTAAAATTTCAGACTATAGAATTATAAACTACCTGTTAGCAGCGAATCCATCTAATACATTTTTTTATTAACTTAAACATAATACAAATACTTATATTTAACTCTTGCCTGGGGGTAGATCAATACAATGGACCTATAAAGCATTAAATGCCAACTGACTTTAGGTTCAAGGGATTTTTTTTGGTTATCATTGAGCTAAATATATCTTTTATGCTTTTCATAATTGGCACCTGTACCTAGCTTTATCTGAGGCTGATTGACTTTCTAGAAATATATACAACTATTAGCTAAATAACAACCATCAAACTGTTGTGATTCATGCTCTTATACTCCAAAGAAGACACTCAAATTTCCACTAAGAAGTACATGTATTTCTCTACCTGTCATCAGTAACACAGTGATGCCAAACTTGTGAGGGTCGCACCATGTGAGCATCTAAATTTGTCCGATTTGGCTTAGTTGGAAAGTCCAGAAGGCACCTCTCAATCCAATAACGTTGATACTTAGGCTCAAATGGATTTGGTATGACAATAAATCCTGAAAATCATACATGCAAAGATTTAATCTGAAATATTTGTTTGTTTGTTGAATTTTTAAGTTTCATTAATAGCATTGTTATGGTCATATGGGCTCTTTCAATCTAAGAGCTTTACTAGAGGATAAAGATCTCATTACTTAAAGCACAAGAAAACATCCAAGAAGAATCACTGACCTGTAAGCTAGCTAGAATGAATCTAAGATCTCTAGTGGTATTTCATCCAACAGCAGTAAGAAGATCTGATAAGTAGTCATCAATCTTAACCACACGGCACACATGGGCATTCAATTACAAATAACTAAGCCTACAGTAACAATAATCCCACTTTTACATGCTTTTCGGTGGTTTATAGAAATATATCAGTGAAATAAAAACTGATAATTTCATTGTTTTAAACAGTGAAATTATCAATTTGATATTGTAATATTATTTGGCACCCTTTTCATTTAGTACTGTGTTAAAATGTCTTTTTAAACGTTTCTTTGCATATAATAAAAAGAAAATTTGTTTACTTTAATGTAAGATCGAAATATATTTCACCTTGTGAACACCGAAAGTTCATTTTTCACTTGTGGCTGTGCCACTCGTGAAATATACCTTTTGGTGCTCACTTGGTGAAATATATTCCGATCTTACACAGAACTGAACAAATATCCTCTATATCTTTTACTTGAAATTGTTATATTTATTTTGAACAAGAGCAAAATTGTTGCAAAATACGCCTGTCACAAAAGCTTTTGACAGAGATGTGGGCATACTAAAAATACGCATGTAGGAGATATGCTCTGTGCAATATCTGGAAAATATCTCGATATTTTATTATCTCTAGTGACCATGACCTTGAAAATACTAACCTTAATTACATGTGTCACACTTATAGTCATGATAGTTTTCATTTGTGTTACAATCCACCAATAAATGATGACTAAATTTTGACCTCTCTAAGTGGCCTTGACTTTGTTAGCAGGGACCTGGATTATGTGCACAATAAGCCTCACAATGGTGAACATTTTTGCCAAATTACATTAAAATCCCCCAAGGAATGTAGAACAAGCATTTTTCAATGACCTCTAAGTGTGACCTTAACCTTTAACATAGAGACCTGGTTCATGCATGTGACACTGCTTCTCATTGTGGTGAACATTTCTATGAAGTTTCATTAGAATCCCACCATAATATGTGTAGAAAATATGCTCTGGACAAAATCTCTATATTTTATCAGCCTTAGTGACCTTAACTTACTATCATCTTTAGTGACATTGACCTTGCATATATTAACCTACATTACATGTTTCACACCAGTAGTCATGATAATGACCATTTGTGTTTCAGTCCCTCAATAAATGATGACTAAATGGTCCAAATACACATTTTCATATTTTTATCTGAACTTAGATCCCTATGTGTGACCTTGACCGTGGCCGCAGGGACCTAAATTTTCATGTGACACTCCCCCTTACATTGGTGAACATTTGTGTCAAGTTATATTAAAATCCCTCTACGCATGTAGAAGTTTTGCTGCCGACAAGTGTTTTTAAATGACCTCTAAGTGTGACCTTGACCTTTGACCTAGAGCTCTGTTCATGTGCACAACACAGCTTCTCATTGTGGTGAAAATTTCTATGAAGTTCCATTAAAATTCCTCCATGTGTGTAGGAGATATGCTCTGGACAAATCTTTATATTCTATCATCTTTAGTGACCTTGACCATAATCTTTAGTGACCTTGAATTTGCAGATATTAACCTTAATCTCATATTACACACCAGTAGTCATCATCATGACAATTCCTTTTCAATCCCTCAATTAATGATGACTAAATGGTCTGAATACACATTTTCAAATTTTTATCTGAACTTTGACCCCTATGTGTAACCTTGACCGCAGGGACCTAGATTTTGCACATGACACTCCCCCTCACAATGGTTAACATTGTGTGGTAAGTTATATTGAAATCCCTATATACATGCAAGTTTTGCTCTGGACAAGTGTTTTTCAATGCCCTTTAAGTATGACCTAGAGACCTGGTTCATGTGTGGGACACAGCTTCTCATAGTGGGGAACATTTCTATGAAGTTTCATTAAAATTCCTCCATGAGTGTATGAGATATGCTCCAGACAAAATATTGGACGCTGCCTACCAACCAGACAGTCTGCCAGGTGGAAACTATAATACGCCCTGTTTTTCAAACAAGGGTATAAAAATTTGTGACTCAAATAAAATAAGAAAAAACCTAGAGTATGATTTCTTTGCTAGAACACTTTAATGATCTTGACACCAATGGATGACACTCGCTCTAACCTATTAGCTAATTAGTTGTTTTTTAATATATAGTTAGTAAATGCACTGGAAAGCGAGGACCATCACAAAAGAAATTTAAGTAAATACATGTATGCCACTTTTCAAGGTAGTTGTAGCTTAATTTGTTTTTCAAAAGGTTATTTTTTTACCACATATGTATCATTCTTCTAACTTGGAGATGATGATTAAAAACAAACAGTACATTTGTACTTCATATGCTGCATCAAATCCTTACCTTCATACTTAACAATAAGATGTATGCATGCATGCATCCCATCCATCCATCCATACATACACACACATATACATGTTATTATTTTAAAGGTTAAATTTTCTATGGCTTTGAAAGAATGTCATTGTATGCTTTATGCATACAATGAAATTTTTTTTTTCAAAGCTATAGAAAATATAAATCCATCTATGTTTGACACACAACAATTAATGCTCTAAAGAAGAAAATGCTTTGTGTTAAGTTATAGGAGAAGTCTTTAAGTGAGGGAAAAAGTTGATAGCTAAAGTTATCCTTACCTTCACACTCTTTCAGCTGAAAAGCTTTCCATTCCTTTAAAGGTTTGAGGCCAGGAAATGCCTGCAAATCTTTTGGTTCATAAAGCTCGACAGGTACAATCTAAAATTTTAATCAAAAAATATTTTGGCTGCTTATCAAAACAAATTTTCAGTTCAAGTAACTTACACATTAATTTTAAGTGTTCCATTCATGTTAAATAGTGGAAGTTCAGAATTTACTGCCTAAATTATAAATACAATTTTTCATGGTCTAATTTTGCTATTATAATAACGTTATAACAGTATTAAACATGAAAGACATCAGTTTAAATTCAAAGGCTGTAATATGTATATTTTTTTTTACACCAGTGACCTTGACCCCATAGACCCTTACTCCACAAAAAGTATGAGGACCATTGAAGGTATTCACCTACTTATCACTCTAGATGCCCAAAGGCAGTTTGTCAAGCCCGCTGTCACATTACTCATATCTGACCTTGAGTTATGACCTTGAGCTCTAAACTAGTCAAACGGTTCTCATGGGCGACAGGCCAGCTCATGATGTTGAACATATATGCCAGGTTATTTGAAATTCCACCATCTAGTGATAGAATTATGGTGCGGAGAAGCTGTTTGTGACCATTTTTCTGTATTTGACCATAAAGTTTGCCTTTGACCTAGCCACAGGGTTCTTGCACACAACACACCATATCATGATGTTGAACATTTGTGCCAGTTATTTCAAATTCTACCGGCTAGTGTTGATTTGATTGATGATTTTTTTGGGGTACATTTTTTTCAAAATAACAACTGCTGTAATAAAGACATCTTTATGATAATATCAAGTAGAAATTATGATTTTAAATATTGAATTTGACACAAATGTACAAAAGCATGGTCCCCATCATCTCAAGTCATAGTCCACACTGTCTGAATCTATGGTCTACCTTGGTATGGTCCACCCTGTCCCACAGTCTGCTCCGTCCTTAAATTGAAAAAGGCAGCGAAAAGTCTTGAAAAGTTTGACCAACTTTGGGGGTGAAAAGTTTTGATGTGAACACATGATCAGTCTTATGAAACACATCTATCATGTCTATCTACAGGATTTTTATATCCATCTGGAAATGGAAACAACTATTAGACTAGCCTGGGATTCAGGCGTTAATATTTTTTCCTTATTCATAACATAAGCCCTATTTTATAATTGATCGTGTTTTGATAATATCAACGCTTGGGGAAACCTGCGGGGCTTCCCATGTAATTTATCAACAAATGATAATCCTATTTATACATGTAGACCGATAAGCATGTGACCAACAAAGCACCGGACTAAATCAAAATCAAGGCAAATATGCTGAAAGATAAAAATTTGGCGCCATTTACTATTATAAATTGAGTCTAGCACATTTCTCTGATGATGAGCTCTCAGACTTTATTCACACGGAATTGGTCTTTAACTAATCAAACATGTTGATCAAATTCACTCATGCAATAAACTATGTCAACGAGTGTCAAAACTCTTAATATTTAATAGGAATTGGTGTTTTGAAAGCGTGGCTCCATGACTATTTGTTGAGTTTCGGGTCACTTCATGAAAATTCTGTTTCTATTTTTAGAAACTAGTTTGAAGTTGCACACAAGAGTTATCATTCTTTAAATGACATCCGTAGTTTTCAGGTGAATACTAGGTGGCTCTTCGGTTGAAAATTGTATTTCCCCAGTATGTTTTTTTGCCGAACAGAAACACATAAAAAAATTTGACAGACTGTCCTCCAATTATTGGTGGTTCGGATGATCCTATAAATATGACGTCGCTTTTAGATATGATTTGTTCTTGGCAAAGCTTGACCGACATAAACTATAACAAGCCTGTAACGCCTGATAAAAATTTGGCTGTAAAAAATATTTTGGACTAGTTTTCGGATGTATTTTTGCTCCCTACCAAACATCAAAGTGAATTTTTATTTGTTTGGGTCGTCAGACCAAACAAATAATGGTAGCAAAATTTCAGACTCTAATGCTGTTAATTGCAATTGCCGAAAGTAGTCCGCTTTTTTGAAGCGGTTACTTTCCTTTATATGAACACTAAACTATGAACACCGAAAAATTCAGGGGAGATCACTGCTTTAAGATGGTCAAATGACAGGCGCATTAATTTTCAAGCAAAATAATTTCTGAATGGTCGAAGATTTCTAATATTGTTTTATTCTTTCTACATATACATGCTTATAGTAAGCTCCATGATTATTTACATCTGTGTTAAACAACAATTAGCGTCGTTACAAACCCTAATTTAGAATAATATGGTTTTCTTCAGGTCATTCACATATGAATTCACCGTGGCCGAGGGGTTTGCGTGCTCGCTTAGGAAGCGAGAGGTCTGGAGTTCAAATCCCAGTTAAGGCAACTCATTTTTTTTTTTCAAATTGCTTAAGTCAAATAAACATTGAATTGAATATCAGTGTTGCAATAAGTCTGATAGCCAATTTACTACAATTAAACCGCTGAAAAGTATTGGTGGCACTATACAAAAACAAATTGGTTTATAATCTCACAACCTTCACCTTTCTGACATTCTGAGATCCAAACATATTCAGCGCCTTCTGTGCTTTGATTATATTACTGAGTGGCGACATAAGTATGCCAAACTTTATTATATTTTTAGTCATCTTATGTTTTCCTGTGCCTATCTTTCTGTGATACTGCAAAACTACTGTGATAATACGGGGAAGTCAAAGGCCGGGACCGCGAAGCGGGCCCGGGATTGGCTTGCCCTGCTATCGACTACACATGTATATTTAAAAGGAAATCAAATTAAAAAAAATTTCAAAAATACCGTTTATAGAATTCTATACCTATCAATGAAATTTTCAGTGTCAGTTCTAGTTGGGCGCTGCCATTTTCAATGTAACTCAATGATAAAAGGTGAGGTATTCCAATAACAGACAATCGCAACTTTTCGGATTAATAATAAATATCGAGTGTTCCAAGTGAAAACAGAAGTGGTGCATGAAATACCGAATGACACCTTTAAAATGGAAAAATAAATGATTTTTAACTGACTTCCCCGTTCATAGACTTTGCCTTATTTCATATTATAGCATATAAGTGTTAAGATACGGATCCAGTGAGTAATTTTTCCACCTTTTTTCTGTGATAATGCAAAACTTCTGTGATAATAAGATTCTAAGATTAATTTGTAGTTTAACTCATTGTCTATTTTTATGTGAGAAATGAATGTATTTTTGCGCAAACAGGACGTTTCGGCCCCAAACCAAATCGGCCCCTTTGCAAAAATCGGCCCCTAGACGTTTCGGCACTTTTCCGCAAGACCTTTTGGCTTTTTTTATGAAAATTGTTAAAATTGTAGTAACTATATTGATTGATTGATGGCACACAAATAATTAATTAAGACACTAAAATCCTTAATTTATAATCCTTTATAGATTTATCGATCACTTAATTTAACTATTGAAATAAATGATATTTTTTTCAAAGTGTAACTATAAAAGACACTTAATCCTTAATTTATAATACAGTTGACAAACTGCAAAAACGTTTTGATAAACAAAGTTAATTACAATTATACCTCAAAAATCATTATCTTTTGATCTCTATTTACCATTTAACAGCTATTTAACTATTAAGATATATGTTTTTTCAAGGTGCAACAAATTAATCATTTATACGGGGAAGTCAAAGACCGGGCCCGCGAAGCGGGTCCGGGCTTTGGCTTGCCCGGCTATAGACTACATGTGAATATTTAAAAGAAAATCAAATAAAAAACAATTAAAAAATATATACTATAGAATTCTATACCTATCAATGAAACTTTCAGTGTCAGTTCTAGTCGGGCGCCGCCATTTACAATGTATGTCAATGATAATAGGCGGGGTATTTTGATAACGGAAAAAATCTCAACTTTTCGGATTAGTAATAATCGTCGAGTGTTCCGAGTGAAAACGGAAGCAGTGTATGTAATATCGAATGACACCTTTAAAACGGAAAGAATGAAAGGATTTTTTTAACGACTTCCCCGTTCATAGGCTTTGCCTAATTTCATATTAGCTTATTGCTAATAAGGGGTTAGTCATATCAAAGAATTTTTTTAAATTATGATTTCTTATAATTTCTTGAAAATATTCTGAGTTATTATTGTAACGTTCTGATTGAAAATCTGTCACTTTAAATGTATTGTTCTGTGTCTTGCTTTTTAATCGTTCAAATTAAAAAAAAATACTTGTTGATGATAAACAGATAAAATTCTGTTTGCTAAGGGCCGAAACGTCCGGGGCCGAAACGTTTTGGGTAATTTGGGGGAATTAGTAACGATTCGCCACACTAACGATTCGCCACATAACGATTCGCCACAGAGTAATAACGATTCGCCAGTTAAATAACGATTCGCCACAGTATGGTTATAGATCTAACAATGATTTTTTTAGTTATCACCAAACTTTTTCCTTTTGTTTTAATAATTTGACAATGACAATAATTTAATAATGTTTCTTAATACAAGTAACATGAACTTAAAGCCCCCATTGCGGATTTTCAATTTATTAAAGTAACATTATGACAGGAGTACATTTACAAGAAAGTAATTATATGTTGATTAATCATAAACATAAATGTCAATTAATATTAAAAGAAGAGAAGAAATAGTTTATTTCGGTAACTTATACATTTACATTATTATCTCGTTACATACAGTAATTACAAATATAATAATTCTGTGGTCACATGACAAAAGCAAAGAAAAAAATAATAAGAAGAACATAAAAAGTTTTAACTGATGACATTCTTACGGAGAACAGACAGCTGCAAATAAAGGAACAAAGAACATCACAATATCATTATCATTCATTTATATAAATGTCAAATATTTAAAAAAAGATATTGCAAAAACATGTGATCATTACGAAAATTGATTTACGATAATTGATTAAAGAACGCATATCTAAAACATTTGTCACACCTTTTATTTTAACAAGCCAATCACCTTAAATTGTAGAAATATTTAATTGACGCCGAAATAATCCTTTAATTATCTGACAATGTGAGCAGATTTCAAAACAATGCGGCAATTAAGCTTATGTATGTAAATTTTGTAATAAAATATGTTAGTTATATAAATAACTTATCTAAAATGTGTAATGTAATTTTGGTAATGAAATATATTTATTGTCATTTATTCAATTAAAGCTGTTTTCTTTTAATTTTCCAGTTTATATAAATAACGAAGTTTAACTTATCTACAATGTGTAATGTAATTTTGGTAATAAAATATTCATGTGTCTTTATTCAATAAAAGCTGTTTTCGTATAATTTTCCAGTTGATATGAATAACGAAGTTTTTCTCATCTACAATCTGTGATATAATTTTGGTAATAAAATATTTATTTTCATGTGTTTTTATTCTATAAAAGTTGTTAGTATATTTTTCCAGTTTATATCAATAACGAAGTTATAAAATGTGTTATGTAATTTTGTTAATAAGATATCTGGTTTTCGTGTGTTTTTTATTCAATAAAAGCTTTATTCAGTGTAATTTATTTATGTAATTAACAAATGAAATATATAATATAAAAAAGTTTTCCATCAACAATTTGAAAACAGGTGTGAACAAGTTTGTATTTGAACACGTGGCGAATCGTTATTTAACTGTGGCGAATCGTTATTACTCTGTGTCGAATCGTTATGTGGCGAAACGTTAGTGTGGCGAATCGTTACTTTACCATTTGGGGCCGATACATCTTGGGGCCGAATAGTCCAACTAATTAGACTTGTCAAAGAGACACCGAGATAATTTTGGACGGGCGCTGTCTTTTCAACGGTTTGACAGTAAGAAAAAAAAAGTCTGTAAAATGGGTCAAACCGTTCACGCCAAATTAATTAGGCTAGGGGCCGAAGTGACATTTTTGACTCCCGACCATATTGTCAATATTTCCAAATACTCACAATTTCACCACACTGCTTATCAGAAAAATCAATGACTCCACTTAAATCTAAAGGTTTATCCCGACGTTTATACCGCTTGTATACGTGTTTAAAATTGTCAACAAGCGAATCTGTGCACTTCTCTATGGACGCCGCCATCTTATTCCGGAGAGGTATAAATTATGACGGATCGTTAAATGAAGTTGAGAAACACGGCGCCATCGTCAACTTTTGTTAATTTGGTACTTGATGAATAGCCTGGGGTTCAGGCATTGATATTTTTTGTTTATTTATGATATACACGCTATTTCAAACTCGTTGCCGAACAGAAGTACATAAAAAATCGACAGACTGGAACCAAGGCTATAAGCAATCTCCACACAGTGATCTCCCCTTAATTCTTCGGCGTTACAATTCTGCCAAGGGAGGTAATCACTGTGAGGAGTTTGGGCTATAAGATGAATAATCTAAACTGGGTTTGCCTAAAATACGAAAGTGAGATTTTTGACGAAAGTGAGCGAAAGTGAGCGAAAGTGACTTTTAAAATATTACTTGTAACGTTTTAATAGACTTTTACAATAAAATTGCAGTTTGTAGACGTATATTATTAGAAATTACTTATATTTATTATAAAGAATAATCATAATAATGATTTATTCGGTTTTTATTTGCATAATTTATATACTGCAGTACACAAATTCTTATATCTTCCTTTCGCTTACATTGAAAAATACGAAAGTGACTTATAAAATATACCGTTTAAATTGAAATTATTTTTACTATTATTGCACAAATTGGACGTATAATATCAGAAAATGATAATATTTACTTTCAAAGATAATCATTATGATGATTAAATCGCCATTTATTTTGCATAATCTCTATACACAAGTTATATACAGAGATCTTCCTTTCGCTCGCATTGAAAAATACGAAAGTGGCACACAAAATATCAAATATACTGTTTAAATTGAATTTATTACTAAAATTGCAATTAATTTGTAGACGTACAATATCAGAAGTCAATTATATTTATTTTTAAAAATAATCATTATGATGATTTAACCGCCCTTTATTTGCATTACACAAGTTAAAAGATCTTCCTTTCCCTCACATTGAAAAATACGAAAGTGACTTCAAAAATGTCAAATATAGCGCTGAAAGACGCATATTTTCAGAAATGATTAAAATATATTTTAAAAAGTAATCATTATGATGATTTAATATCCATGTATTTTCATAATTGCTGTATACCTGTTCTGATATCTTAATTACTTTTGCCCACATTGAACAATACGAAAGTGACTTAATCGGACGAAAGTCAATGTCAATATTCACGATATTAATGTTTTTTATAATAAAAAAATAAATGAGTCATTTTCATTACTATTCATGCATGTTTTCATGGTGATTGACCTATAACTGATGATGAAAATGACTAGCACAAAATATAAAAAAAAAATCCTAACTTATAAAAAGATTGAACTTTACCGATATATATAGTACGATTTTTATAGAAAATTCCGTGGATTACTTATTTCCTTTTTTCCATAGTGAAATATTATTTTAACAATGATGGGAAATTCCAAATTATTTTTCAAATTAACATGTACATTGCTCATCTACACCTGGATGAGCATAATAACTGCCACTTTAATCCGTGCAAGATATCTATGGTTGTGCAGAAGAAAGGTTAATTCAATTGTCCACTCAATAAACAACAAGGGCAAGTGTCATCAGTTACATACCTATGATTGGATTATAATAATACTTTAGTGGGATTAAAGCGTCATGCGGTCACCGTCGTGTGTACTATCAATTAAAGTGGATGCGATAATGATATGACAACACGTGTTTGCGTGTAAACATATTCATACTTTATTTTGTCTCATTCGTACCACGGATTTAAATTACAGGGATCGGACACTCCTAGTAAACCTATATAAAACGTTAAAATATCTGTCAATTAAAGTCCGTGTTCGTACACATGCATTTTTAAACATACATGTATATACAACTATTCACATAAAACCTACGTAAGACCATTCCATTTAATAATTTCAAGAGACATTATAATAATGAGAAACACATTCAAGACCTATTACTGTTAGATTAGAATCAAACAGTATAATTACAATATAATATATAAACAGAATATTAAATGTTAGGTAACACCATCTTTAATCAAAAATTAAAAACTGCCCGAAAAAAACGATGTAAGAAATAGAGAACTGTAAATCGGGGCCCTAACGCATAAATTGTATAATTCATGTTTTTGCCAATTATAGTTTACATGATAAATTTCATTTTTTCATCTTAACATATTTAGTTTTATAAAAATTGATAGTTACTATAGCTTATAACATACGTCTACAAAACTGCAATATTATCATGAAATTCTATTTCAACGCTATATTTGATATTCTGTAAGTCACTTTCGTCAGGCTCACAGTAAGTGAAAGGAAGATCAATGTCTTAGCCTGTGTATAAATATTATGCTAATAAATGAAGATCAAATCATATTGATTAAAGATACTAGTTTTGATAATATACGTCTACAAACAGCATTATTAATATTAAATGCAATTTTTAAACGCTATATTTGATATTTTTAAAATCACTTTCGCTTACTCTCCTAACATTGAAAATACGAAAGTGAGCGAAAGTAAGATCTCTGATATTGCTATATAGAAATAATGAAAATGCATGAATATTAAAACCTCATAATGATTTTTAAGTATTTTTTTTATTCATTTCTGAAACTATGCGTCTACAAACTGTTATATATAATATAAATTCAAAATATACGGTATATTGAATGTTTTATAAAGTCACTATGTAGATCTATGTAGTTGTGTATAGAAATTATGCAAATAAATAGCGATTAAATCATCATATATAATGATTATTTTTGAAAATGAATATTATCAATTTCTGATAATATACGTCTACTTAGAGCAATTTTAGTAAAAAATCAACTTAACCAGTATATTTAATATTTTATATGTCACTTAAGTATTTTTCAATGTGAGCGAAAGGAAGATTTCTGAACTTGTGTATAGAAATTATGCAAATAAATGGCGATTAACTCATCATAATGATAATTTTTAAAAATAGATATTATCAAATTCCAAAACTATACGTCTACAATCTGTTATATTAATATAGATTTAAATTAATCGCTATATTTGATATTTTGAAGTCACTTTCGTATTTTTTCAATCTGAGCGAAGGAAGATATCTGAACTTGTGTATAAAAATAATGCAAATAAATAGCAATTAAATCATCATAATGATTATTTAAGAAAATAGGTATCATCAAGTTCTGATAATATACATCTACAAATTGTAATTTTAGTAAAAATTTCAATTAAAACAGAATATTTAATATTTTAAAAGTCACTTTCGTATTATTCAATGTGAGCGAAAGGAAGATATAAGAACTTGTGTATAGAAATTATGCAAATTAGTAGCGATTAAATCATCATTATGATTATTTCTGTTAATAAATATAATTATTTTCTAATAATATACGTCTACAAACTGCAAGTTTGTTTTAAAAGTCTATTAAAATGTTATAATTACTATTTTAAAAGTCACTTTCGCTCACTTTCGCTCACTTTCGCCAAAAATCTCACTTTCGTATTTTAGGCATACCGATCTAAACTTATTTCTATAAGAACAGAACAGAACAGAACAGAAACTTTATTTTCAGACTTGTACAAAATACATCGTCTACACAATACAAACAATTAAATATATGTAAGTATAAGTCACATTACATAATAATATCATAGTCAAATGTTAGCAAAGCATATGTTTTATTGCTTAATTTATAATTCCGTTAATACAAAACATATCAAAATATTATCAAAGCAAAATGGAATCTATATTTAAAGTTAGACATTATGCAATCAATACTTATTTATCTACGCTATGTTACACAGAGGATTAACCGTGAATTCAACGATGTGTAACTGATATTCTCATAGCCAATGCCTCTCGTATATAACAAGCAAGGTTACGTAAAATAATCTTATTATCACTATTTAATAATTCTAAAAATTTATACATACTAGGTCTAACGTAGTAAAATTTCTTAATGTATTTCTTTCTAAGGTCATTGTAACAAGTGCAAACCAAAACAAAGTGGTACTCATCTTCAATATCATGTAAGCTACAGTATATACAAAAACGTTCATTTCTTGGTATCCTATTTGAACCATAACGACCAGACTGTATAAGTAACGGATGTGCTGATAATCTTATTCTACTAATATAATGCCTAAGGCTACTAGGTAATAAATCCAGATATTTTTTCATACTGGAACACATTTTTTATCTCCTTGTATAACAATAAAACAGGACTATTTACAATATCAGCATGCCAGCTTTGTACAAAGGAATCAATTAAACGCTGCTTGAATTCTAGTAAAAACAATTTACTACATAAAACCTCTTGATTATGCCATACATACATAAAACCATACGACGATAATAAATCTTTAACACTTGAAAGCCAATTTTTCTTACCATTTATACAGTCTTCATAAGATATATTATAAATTTCTTTAAGAATGATATTGTCTGTTTGTAATAATTTAAGCCAAAACTGTACTATCCGTAAATATCTTGTAATGTATAAAGGATAACGAGCCAGTTCACCATAAACTGCTGCATTACATGTATTCATTTTAACATTAAGTATTCTTTTACAAAACTTAAGATGAATTCTTTCAATTTCTTTTGACTTACTATTTCCCCAAATTTCCGAGGCATAACAAAGAATGGATCCGACAAACGCATCAAATAACTGACATAATATTTTGGGATTAAGTTTATGCTTTTTACAATTTATAAGTAGAACATTTAATGCTTTTAAGGCTTTTCCTATTATCTGTTCCTGATTTAAAACAAACGTACCCGTGTAATTAAAAACAACTCCAAGGTAATTAAAATTACTAACAATTTCGAGTTTTTCACCATTATACAAAAATTCCTCATTAGATAACAACCCACCACGTTTTCTAAAAACCATTGCTTTAGTTTTATCAATATTAACATTCAGACTCCATTTTTCACAATATGAATAGAGAAGATTTAAACTTTTGTTAATCTGTTCTGGTGAATCACCCAAAATTACCATGTCATCAGCAAAAAGTAGAAGCATAAGTATAATATCATTTAATTGAAGTCCACTGTTTATATCCTGCTCTAAGAATAACTCGACGTCATCAATAAACAGAGAAAACATTATCGGTGAAATTACCTCCCCTTGACGGAGACCTACAGCATATTCAAAAAAATCAGAATAACAATTACAATGTTTTATACAAGATTTAAC